CACTGTTTGGCTGAGGTCAGGCAACATAGCCTAGACACCGGAGGCCTAGGCCCTAGAATGTAAAGTTTGTTTGTGTTGGTCTGAATGCGTTCGTTGATTGCGATCGGGAGTAATCAGTTTTGTACCCTATTCAGACTACATTCTCTTGCGATCGGTTGCGATGTAATCGGTGGTAATCCAAAACTGATTACTCCCGATCGCAATAAACGAACGCATTCAGACCAACACAAACAAACTTTACATTCTAGGGCCTAGGCCTCCAGTGTCTAGGCCTATGTTGCCTGACCTCTGCCAAACAGTGCCTGTGGAATTCGTTGTGATTCGTTGCGATCAGATTCCGTGGTAATCGGGAGTAATAAAGATTGTAGGAACCAATCGCAACGGGTAACAATTGCGATATCGATTACATATCGACTACTATTGGTGAGCTTTCACACACGATTTTACTTTGCGATTGGGAGCGATTGGGTGTCGCAATTGCTACAACCGATCGCAATGCGATGCTAGTCTGAATGGGGTATTGGATTACCACCGAACTTTAACTGCATTTGGTGGATTAAGTCGCAAAACTTCGTTTGGTGGCACCATTTACTCTATGTAGACCGGTTTCGTTATCGGTTGGTACATTTCTTAAAAACATTCAGCCAAAGGCCAGTAAAAGTTGAGACGACAGCTGAGTTTTTATCGATGTTTGCCATCCTTGTCACGTGCCATATCGTAAAGTCATGGTTTGCTGAGTTGCGTTCAATTTAAATCTCCGAACTTCCGAAGCTGAGATATTCTATGAATGCAGTCTTTTATCGCAGTCTACAATTTAAAAACGGGTGACCAAATAATGAATTAGGTGCTAAATTGTTATTTAATGCTGGGTAAGTTAAAAACAGACATTCCGTCCGAGTGGGACTCATTCAAAAATTCGAGGAGGTTCGCTAGAAAACGGGAATTCGAGGGGTTTCGCTAGAAAAGGGGGTTCGTCCGAACCATAAAAACCCCCTTGGCTCAGGGCTTGTGACGTAGAAACATAGTAAAAACGAGCGTTGGTACCGTGTATGCCAGTCTACAACAAGCGTCGCCGAAATGTAATAATTAGCACGCTGAAATAGGCTAGTAAATAAGTTTAACTGGGTTCGTAAATAATATTGGCCTCAAAATATTGTGGCTGAGACATGGGCCGAAACGTAGAAATAGGAAACCTAGAAATATAGTAAAAACGCTGAATAGTAATACTCGAGCGTCGCCACATGCGGACGATGGTACGTGTAGGTTAGTCTACAAACGTCGCCTAAAGTAATTGATTTTACCCGGCAGAACGAATGAAAGAAACTCCGCTTTTCAGTCGTCTTAGGCCCTTGTTTTTTGACAAACAATG